CCACAAATCCTAACAACCTCCTTCAAATCCATTAGCCAACTACTTTAATAAGCTTTATCTACTAGCCTGCATCAGCAGCAAGCAAACTAAACTCTACTGCAAGTAGGGTGCTGGCCCTAAAAAGGCAGAAAAGAAATTATCCAACCAACTCCTCTATGGATTTGGGGAGGGGACCCCTCAAGGCGTTAGTACTGGGTCTATTTCAATATCTCAATCAGTCATATTATAAGGTTTATTATATGAAAAAATTTTTGAACAAATCTGGAATGCACATTAAAAACAAAACAAACAAAAGATTGAAAACATTTAATTAAAACTTTTAACTTACAATTACAATAGCAGCAACTGCAAGGATCTTAAGTAGGTTACAGCACAAGGTGTTGGTTTTCACTCAGAGCTCTTGGATTTTTTCAGAATATAGGTTTCTAAGAATTTCCAAGTCTGCCGAATGAGTTCAACTTGATTACATTATATACAAAACAAAGAAAAGAAAAGCAGTATTTGACTGATGAAAGCAGCTAGCAGCACATGGAGTAAAGCAGATGCTGTCGGTTGCTTTCGGTTGATTGATTGAATAGTCGAACAGCTTTAAACAAAAGTTAACTGGGTGAATAGTGACAGTGAACAGTAAAAGTGAACAGTAACTTTTACTATTCATCACTTTCGGTGCAACTACTTTAATAAGCTTTATCTACTAGCCTGCATCAGCAGCAAGCAAACTAAACTCTACTGCAAGTAGGGTGCTGGCCCTAAAAAGGCAGAAAAGAAATTATCCAACCAACTCCTCTATGGATTTGGGGAGGGGACCCCTCAAGGCGTTAGTACTGGGTCTATTTCAATATCTCAATCAGTCATATTATAAGGTTTATTATATGAAAAAATTAAATTAATGAAATATTTGTAATTATATAATAATATCACATTTATTTTTTAAAATATTATTTTGATAATAGACTATTGATTTTTCATGCCTTGATTATGTGATTACAAATATCTAATTAACTTAATTTTTTTTATATATATTCTACTCAATAAACCTAATAATATAAACAATTCAAGGAATCGAAATTGGCCCAATACCAGCCCACATAAAAGGTCCCAGCAAGCTGATGTCCCTTAAGGCAATCAACATCCCAAAGTACCTACTCTGTATAGGATTGTTCTGTGACCACTTCTATGAGTTGTTTATATTTTGGGGAGAACTACATGTAGAAAGTTAGAAAAAAAAATTGCCAATACATAGAAAGGTGCAAGCGACACTTGCATTTTCATAATCTTTCATTTACATCTCACTGCAAACACACTTGCACTCTCATGTATTTGTAATTTTTTTTCCAACTCCCACCTACATGTAGTACTCCCTATATGTTTTAGTTATATTTTAGGAGTACGTGTGAGATGATTTGATATAATTTATGTTTATATTTTATTAGACAAAAATAATTTAAATAAGGTAGAAAAAATTAATTATATAAAAGTTGGAAAAAAAAATTGCTTCTGAATTCTACTATATGATTATTAGCTTTCATATAAAAAAATTTAAAAAGACAACCAAATGAGCCCCAGTTTTATATTGGCATGTATCATTTTTTTCATTACCAAATTAATTGAATTAAAACTTGTGTAAGTAAATAAAACCACGTCAAAAAAAAACAAAAAAAATTATTCAAGCCAAATCAAGTCCAAAGCAGAGGGAGGGTGTGGTGTGGTGGACCTTCCTCCTCCCTTTCACTTCCCTCTAGAAAAATTGAAAAATGCCCACATTACATGAGAATTACTTTAAAGTTGTATTAAAACAAGAAGATATATCACTAAAATAAATCTACCTCACTAGGTGATTAATTTATTCATTTTTCTTTATATTTTGCATATGAAGAATTAAGCATAATTTTTTTTTTTTTAAATGTGTTTGTCATGTTATTTAATGCAGACCTCTAAATCAATCATGCAGTGAAAAATTTTAAAGGTGAAACATGCTCCCTCAACATTTTTTTTGAGTGAATAACTCACTCACTATTAGTTAGGAGATAAAAATGTAGGGTGTGTTTAGTTTGTATTTTGAGATAAATTTTTAAAAAAAAATTGGGGAGAGAGTTTAGAAATTTTTTTGGTTTGTTTGGTTATGTATTTTGAAAATAGTTTTGGAATATGGGAATTTGAGATAATTTGATATTTTGTTGTAATTGAGTAGATATGTGTGAGAAAAAAAGTGAATGAGGAAGACAGAAGAGAGAAAAAAAGTGATTGATCGATGTGTAATAGAGAGGGAAGTTGTACGGGGAGGAAATAATTCTCCTCGTATAATCCTGTTGACCAAGTCCACGCTCCTCCGTACGACGTCGCTTTGTCACCTGAAAACACAAACGTGAGCTAGCCGGCGGGTGTGTGCCGGAAACCTCTCCGATGCCTAAGTCAGAAAACTTGACAAATAGACAAAGCTCTAAGTTCTCAGAAAGATTGTGTTCAATTACCTCCTCCAAGGTGATGCTTGTAGGCTTTTATAAGTTTCCCGTGGCACAATCCTGGTAGGACTTGTATTTCTCCATGCAGAGTCCTCCTAGGATTCATACTCCTAAGGATAATGCTTATCCTTTTACACCCTCCCCCACTGCTTAAACCAAGTGGGATGGTTTTCTCTTCGGCCGAACTACCTCATGACCGAAATAGCATTGGCTATGCCGAACCGTAGAATAGGCCATACTAACCGTAGTTCGGTTCTTCTTGCCACACCATATATTGGTTCTCCCATACACGACCCGTGGTGCATTTGAACCGCCCTACCAAGTAATAACATTCCGACAGATCTTGACCGGAACAACTTATAACCGGACTATCTTGGAGATCGGTTTAACTAGAAGCCACCCCGTACCGGAGTAGCTTTACATCCCTGAGCCGAAGTAACATTTACTTCTCTCAGCCGGAGTAACTACGCTTCTCCTGGGCCGGAGTAACTACGCTTCTCCTGGGCCGGAGTAACATTGCTCTCCTGGGCCGGAGTAACCTTCACGGCCTTCTTACTTAGTCCTTCGCGTTTTGGGCCTCAAAGCCCAACTCGAAGCTCGGCCCAATTTTCCCAAAAATTACCCTCTCAAAATAGTGTAGCGAAAAATATTATAGATTATATATAATGAACTCATTATTTTCAAGTAGTTGACATACCACTTAGTGTGATTTGTGATTTTCTATATTTTGAGCATCACGTAGGCAATGCCATATGGTACTCTAAGACTGTTTAATAATTTTAATTCAAAACACATCATTTATAAGTAATGTCATCTCTTTAATATGTTTCTGTCAAATAAAAATTAAATATATTTTATAATAAACATACAAAGCATGGAACCATCTTGTGTCTGGGTCTTCTCCGTTATCTCGTCTGCCACGTCCGTTCTTGTTACTTCGGTCAACCGTGTTGACCTTGGCAGGGGTTTT